GACAAGAGTAATCTCCAGTACCGGTATATTTCTAAATGCTGTGCTCAGTAACCACTTTATGTAATATTCCACAACAAATGCATTTTCGGATTCTTAATGCAGAGAGCAGTAATGAATCCATGAGATTTCACAACCTTCTCTACATTCTGCCTTTCTCTATAAACACAGCTATCACAAACTGTTATACTCGATTCTGCTTTTGTATTCCCCCTTTTTCAGTACACCTAAATATTCCTACCCTTTCCATATTGTCTGCCAAATGTAAGGTATAGTTTGCCATATTATTCTGTTCTCCCTTTTCATTCACAAGTTCCTGCCTTAAATCCCCATGACCATGTGAACGAGTTATTGGCACTCCATTTAATCTTATACCGTACTGATACGGAATTACTCTTTTCGCAGTCTCTTCTTCCTCATATTAAGAGCCAAATGGTAATCTGTGTGGAAAACATTAGGTTACACTTATCAAGATGTGTTGTTTTGTTTTTCAAGTATGGTGGAGGTCGGGCCAAATTTATGTGCACTATTATTCGACCGGGTGCCTATGCTACATTCTACCGCCGTAACTATTTGGTTATTCTGCTCACCGAGACCTGGCAAGTGTGAAGAAATTGTTCTTTGTCTCTGCCAGGATTTGAACCCTCGCCTCTCCATGATTTTCATCCCACATCACAAACTACCCAAGACCTTTGGGTGCCTAAAGCCATTTAACACAATTTCCCACCCCCGACACCTGAGGGGATGTTTCTACTTTCTCATTACCACGTTTCCATGAAAAATTCTTGCTTGTATTCTTTTTACACAAGTTCATAAAAAAGATTGATTGAGGTTATCTCCAGAGAATCCTCTCAAACTGGTAAAGCAAGAATGGCTTCTCTAACTTGATAGAGCATTTACCTTTTTTTTTTGGATGGAGCATTACTTGGTAGTTTCATGCTGCATTGCATGTGAATTTAACTGGAAGGACTAATGGGTCTGTGTTATCGTTTGTTTTCAGCAAAATCACCTGATTTATCATATCCACAAAACTGATACAACAGTAATAGTTGCACATGTCTTTTGATCTTCCACTACCTACCTAAAAAGAAGCAAAACTATTATGAATGTCGCTCTGTCTTCCAAATTCTACATTTTCAGTTTGTGATGTTATATTTCACTGAGCTTTAGCAGATATGAAATATTATTCTGATGTGATATTGCTCTTCATTTCTGCTTTGTTGGTGTTGATCTTTACAGCTTGAAGCTATGGGTTTCGATCGAGCTTTGGTGTTGCAAGTATATTTTGCATGCAACAAAAATGAGGAGATGGCTGCAAACTATCTGTTGGATCACATGCATGAGTTTGATGAATGACATGGATGAAACAGAGTGTACTTCAATCTCTTAGAATTTTCGTTATACTTTGTTTTTTTTCTATCTTCTAAATCCGGGTGACATACTTTCTATCTTGCCATGTGGAGTAATTCAATGCCCTAATTCACAGTCTTGGATCTAAACTCTTTCTTTAATGGATATGTTATATAAGTTTAAGGACCTGCAAGCTTTCATCTTGTTCAAGTGCCATTAAGTTGTAACTATTTGGGCTTTGGCAAGAATAACGTGTTCTATTATGCAAAGCCTGTTATGTGCATACTTTGTTGTGTGTTTTTGTTCTGTCTACAGGGTTTTTTCTTTTTCTTTTCTGAACTTAACGATGCTTGACAGCTACTGCTGATGGCATCTGCTCGGCTGTTTTTGTTAACATCCGTTCAGTTTCTTGATTTGTTCTAAATTTCTAATAGAGTCGACCTAGCTGTTTGAGTTGAAGATTCCTAAGAAATGCTCCCTCCCCTGGCATCAGTTGGGACTTTGATCTGCCTCTTCCTTCCCTTTTCTTTCCTCTGTTTTTTGATTTGTTCCAACAGAGTAGATTCGACATAGCTGTTTGACTCAAAAGGTGGAGGACTTTCTTCCTCCCAAATGCTTCCTCAGACCATCTCCAACCCAAATAGAGAACGCCATTTGCTAACCACTCTCCATATTACTCTCTTTGTACTCCATCTATTCATACTATTCATCTTCCTATTTAACTTTTGTTTTTACAATATCATTTACTGAGTCGTCATTATTTGTAATTATGTAATATATCATCTAAAAATATGTCATTGAAAAGTTACTACCTTTTTCCGAATTAGTAATTTTTTATTTTTATAAAATAAGTTAGCACTTTAAATATGTGTTTTTAAAATTATTTTTATATTATTCAAGACTATTAATCAATTCTCTAGTATTTGTAATTATTTTCTAAATAATATAATATCCAAAAATATATTATTTCTATTTTGAATTAACATTTCTTTTAATTTGATTTTCTACAAGTTTTTATCACTTTAAATATGTAATTTAAAATTATAATTATTTTTTACCATGAAGAATGTATTTACATGATAATTCAAGCAATTCTCTTTTATGTTATAGTGATAAGTGATTAGACTACACTTTTAATGAACATAAAAATACTTAATGCGATAGTTTAAAATGGAATAGAGGAAGTATATTAGTATACAACATAATTGGTTACATGGTGCAATCGTTAATAAAAAAACCCCGTAATGCATTAATAGAATAATAATGGGAGATATGTAACAATTTTGAAAGTTAAATATTTATATAAAATTTAAAATATTTTTTTACGATAATGCAAAATTTATGCTATGTTTGAAGTTTATCACGAATTTTATTTTGATTTGAATTGTTTGTTGTAATATTTGTCGCATTTATGTTATTTAGAATAAAGTAATTTTTATTAAATAAATAATTGAAAAATATAAAAATTATATATTACATGAAGCTTATATAGATTATTATTTGAAAAAAATAATTTACATCATGAGATAACAAAATAGAAATAATTATATAATATGAAGGAAAGAGAAGCATGTTTATTTTTAGAGTATAAAATAGATAATTAGGTTGGAATTAATTTTTTGAACCAAAATATTGACAGTAATAACATTTTTGAATCAAACTATAAACGAGGGATATTTTAATTACTTTCCTATAAATTTAGGGCATTTTTTTATCGTTTTCCTAAAATAGATTAACATGTTCGGTACCAAATAAGCGTAAATGGCCAAACTCATTAGATTTTCCCCTATAGTGAAGCGAAGGATCCAACATATCTGTGCAAAAGTAGACTTCAATTGTCAATAATCTGGAGATTCTTTATTATGTCAAAATTAGGAAACCTTTTGATACTATTAATCTTACGAAGATCGAGTTGATGTAACTTAGTGACAAGTAAAGTAGAGGAAAGAAACTCAACTAGTATTCATGGACGTCGTTACTATGCAGTGTGCATTCAGGTTTTTCTTCAATAAAGCTATTACTTTTCTACATTCTTGGAGTATTGTTTTAGGAACTGCGAAAAGAATTACATGTTACAACTCAATTTCACTAACGCCATTCTTTTCTGATTCTGTTTTCAAGGTTTTCGCTGGATTTATTATAACTAACTTATTTGACAAAATGTTCATGTCGTAGAAGGTGAGCATTTATGATGCTCAATTTGTAATAACAACATTTCAATGGCTAACTCCATAAAGGACTGGTGGGCGGGGGTAGAGCCTTTAGCGCCAATATCGATGAAGCAAATGGAAGAGATGTTTGTTAAGGTCGATTTTGAAGAAAGAAAAAAAAACAAGTTTAGAGAACATAGATATGGATACTGGTACAAGTTGAACATCAAACTCAAGAAAGTGATTGACGAATGGGGATAGGCCCCGGAAAGGCATTTCCCCATCAGACGGATAGTATGACCACTAACAAGCAAGCTCATTCCCTGAGACAAGACTTCTACCACTCTCAGTTCTTGGATCGATCATGTGTTGAATAACTTTGTATTTAGATGTTTGTGTGTTTCGGAGGTGAAGTCTCCTTCGAATCCTTAGACAAAGGTGTTATTGAGATATTAAGCCCCTATGGTATCTCGTACACATTTCGACGAGTGGCCAAGCAAAGAAGTCAACTTCAAAGTAGATTTATCGTGCGAAGAGTACGTTATGATCTATGGTCACCTGTTGATAAATCTAAAGCTTACATCATTTAGATTATTTATCTTTTACCTACTTCTTCTCTCGTAAAGTGGTTCTTAAAAAAATGAAATTTGAGTGACTTTTTAAAATAATTATTAGTAATTGAAACACATATCTACTGCTTTAACAAACTACTACTAGCAATCTATTGGATCAACATTGTTTGAATCATTACTTTTTCAAAGTAGTGAGAATCAATGGATTTTCTTATTTGACAATCTAAAGAGCAATGACCAACAAAAATGACAAAACTTTGCTCACCATCCCTTGAAGTATCACTTCAAATCATATGACAAAATGTTGTATTATATGTACAATATTATCCTGTCTCAATTTACGTGGTATCGTTTAATTTAACATAATTTTTCCTTTAATAGAATTTTTTTAAAATTTATGATCTAAAATAATCTTAGACAACTTTTTAACTATGAATCATTTCAGAGGTTAATAATTGAACTATTTTTAATCAGCATAAAATATGACATTAAAGTATATCATATATGTTGAGACTAAGGGAGAATCACTTCTATATGAAAAAAATAAGTTTTGCTTTTAAGTTAAAAGAGTTATTTGTATAGATGTTCACGCATATTCTATAAAAATTACTTGTGTTTCTTCATAGAATAAAAATATCATTCATATATTTTTATTTTTCTCAAAAGAATATTAAACACGTCAAAAATTTTCTCTCTCAACTGGCATTCACGAAACAAAAGAAATTGATGGAAAATTAACTCCAAGAATAAAAATATGAGTAATGGAGAATTTTTTTTTTTGAAAATTATTTTAAGAGAAATTATATCTCAAAAAGAACGTAAATCAATTATATATATAAAAATTGGTGAAGTATAGATTTAAACAAAAAGGACAAAATTAACAATAATATTTATATTATTCTTAAAAATATTTGATTTGAAAAAAAAAAAAAAGTCAAGGAAAACGTCTTGTGAAACTCATTCACGAAATTTTGAAACGATGATTTAAGCGGGTCCCAAACATTGTTCGCTACTAACATACTATATATATTACTCTATTTTTCACAATTACAGATAACGGCTCTCTTCTTCTTTGTTTTCTTGATAAGGGTTTTGAATTTTTGAACGTTTCGAGTTCGAAGACAAGCAAATGGCTGCGAATTCACGGGGGGTTGGAGACTGGAAAATCGAATGCTGAAGACGGCGGGCACTTTCGAATCATACACTGTCTCTGCTCACATACTCAATTTCTCATTCCTCCAAACTTGTGAGTGTTTCATTGTTTTTGGTCTTTGTTTAATATGTATGTGTTTTTTTCTACTGTAGGAAAATAATTGGAGTGATGGGTTTTATCTTCTTCTTTTGTGTATTTTTTTGATTACCCGTCTCTGTTTCTGTATGTTGGTTATGGGATTTCCTGTATAAATTTGTGTACGCAAGGGAAATGTAGGTGGGTTTTGTGATGGTCTCTGTTTGTGTAGGTTGGTTATGGGGGTTCTTGTAAAAATTTGTGTATGCAAGGGAAATGATGGTCTCTGTTTCTGTATGTTGGTTATGGGGTTTCTTGTATAAATTTGTGTGTGGGGTTTTAGTATTCCTCGTGATCGTCATCGCCTCCTTCTTCCAGTTCAACACCAAACCTCCTGTAATCCATTTCCAAAGCTGCTAGATCTTCACGTGCTTCACTGAACTCACCAATATACCAGTGCACAAAAGCACGCTTGACATACGTCAGATGGAACTTGTGCTCAATGCGTGAGAAGACCTCAGCAACACTGGTTGAGTTGGAAATCATACATAACATACCTTTGCACCTTGAACATGTTGGCTGATAGTTTATACCACACTTGAATCCAGTAGGGCATCAGTCAACAAATTTTATGGTGCGCTTAGTTAGTAGCCACAACAACATTCACATCCTTTGTCACAATATCACCACGGAACATAAGGCAGCAAGCCATGTACTTCCCGTGGTGAAGATCACACTTGACCATCATGACAGCTGCTCATGGTAGGCCTTCTCGGTTGAAATGACAGGAGCATCGGATGAGAAAGGATAAAATGAATCCTGGGGTAGGGAACAAGGTTGGTCTGGAATTCATTGACATAAACATTTAGGGCTTCATCAAACCTCAAAGAAGCAGTAAGTGAAGAGATAACCTATTAGCAGGAAAATATGGAGATAAAGAGTAAAGATTGAAACCCCATCAGCAGCTTGTGTATGTATGTTTATGCAATATGGGTATCTCAGCAAAATTTGGAATGTAGAAGGATAAGATCTTGCATCAACAGAGATTCATGAAAACATATCCACCACCTCCATCGCTCTTTTCTTTTTCATTAATAGGGAGTATTGAAAGAATTTCCAGATATAACAGAAAAATGTTCCATCTTTCCCTGCATGTCTATTTAAGACTACACAGAATTAAATTCAACATCTACTGGATCAAATTACACTTCCCCCGTGCTTTTTGCACAAGTTATGGAGGTAAAAGTATATGAGAGACTATATTATATTAATTAATTTCACATACTTTTTACTTGGTGCCAAATGTGCAATCCCTTTTTATTTATTTTTGTTGATACATGAAATATAATTGATAAAATTAATATTGTTGATTTAAACATTTTTTATTTGATAGCTTAATTTTAAATTATATAACAATAGTAAAAAATAAACGTGCACGCACGTTCTTGTCAGAAACTAGTCCATGTATATGTAAGAGAAATATACTTGTGGACTTGGAATCAGGGGGATAAAATAGTCAACATTGATAAGAATATTGCTGACCCATAGTTTTGTGCTATAATGGCCTCTGACTCAGAGGTAATAAAATGTTGGATTACCCTCTTATCTCTTTTCAGCTCTTTGGCTCTTTGAATTGGATGTTGCTGATTACTTTAACATTATTGCTGTTTTACTGACATTTTCTGCCAGTTGTCGAATATGTTTTATTATTAACTTTGGTCATTGTACTTGCCAAAGATAAGGCCTTCCACAGATTTCATGGAAAAAGTACAGAAAGACATCAATCCTAGCATGCGTGCATGTTAATGTTGAGGTAAATTTCTAACATCTTTCTTCTCTAAAGTTGTGTCCCTGATGAAATGTCAATGTGCCCAGGAGTAGAGACTTCATTAATGTGGTTGAGCTCAGAAATTCGTCAGTTTGATATGGAACTTGTTTGATGGTAGGTTTTCAAGGAGGTACAGGCTTGTCCCAGACACACTGCATTTGACAATTAACTACTAGTCGATATTAATAAGCACCATTTGTTTATCAGCAAGGAGCTTCAATGAGAAAGAAAAGCAGAGGGTATAGGTGTTTATCAGCAAGGAGCTTCAATGATATTAATACTGCATCATCTGCCTTTTCTTCTGCTCGTTCCTTGCAATTCTTGAATATAGGTGTTCCTTTTCTCATCTACCTTTTCTTGATTAATTTGTGAAACTTCAGACTTGTGTCCTTTTAGTATGGTGCTTTATTTACTCCTACGTGCAAGCCTCAGGATCAAGATTAACTCGATAAAACGAGACCCTTGGTTCGTATCTTCTCATAGTGAAAGAATGGAGAGACAACTTCCTTCGTTAGGTATGAAACACAATATTTGATAATTACTCAGCTCAACAAAGATTTTGCGTCTTCTTTTTGTTCAATAAATGAATCAAATCGTTTAAGTGCATTTTTCTAACTTTGTTTTTTAAAGGCAGGCAGGCTGGGGGGCCTCAAGGCACGACAGTGCTTTGAGGCGGGCTGAGGAGGGCTTTGTCGCACGATAGTGCCTCGAGGCGGGGGGTGGGGGCCTCAAGGCTCTATGATGCCTCAAGGAGAAGGGGGTCTCGGGGCACGACGGTGCCTCGAGGCCGGGGGGGATGGGGGTCTCGGGGAACGATGGTGCCTCAGGGGGGGCATCGGGGCATGACGGTGCCTCGAGGGGGAGGGGGTGGTACCGGGGAACGACGGTGCCTCGAGGCGGTGGACGGGGGTGGTCTCAAGGCACGATGGTGCCTCGAGGCGGTGGAGGGAGGGTGTTCTCGAGGCACGACGATGCCTCGAGGCGGGGGAGGGGGGAAGGTCTAGGGGCACTAAGGTGCCTCGAAGCCGAGAGGGGGGTGTCTCGGGGTACGACGGTGCCTCGAGGCTGAGGGTGTATGTATCTCGGGGCATGATGGTGCCTCGAGGGCGAGGGGGGTGTCTCGGGGCACTACGGTGCCTCGAGGCCGGGGGAGGGTGTCTTGGGGCACGACGGTGCCTTAAAGCCGAGAGGGGTAGAGGGGGGTATCTCGGGGTACGACGGTGCCTCGAGGCCGAGAGGGTATGTCTCGAGGAATGACGGTGCCTCGAGGTCGAGGAGGGTGTCTCGGGGCACGACGGTGCTTCAAGGTTGTGGGGGTGTCTCGGGCACAATGGTGCCTCAAGGCTGGGGGGTAGGGGGGTCTTAGGTCACGATGGTTCCTCGAGGCTGGGGGGGAGGTGTCTCAGGGCATAACAGTGCCTCGAGGTCGAAGGGTGGTGTCTCGGGGACGGGGTGTGTATGTCTCAGGGCACGACGATGCCTCGAGGTTGGGGGAAGGGAGGTGTGGGGGGGTTGGTCTCAGGAACGATGGTGCCTCGAGGTGGTTTCGGGGCACGACGATAACTCTAGGCCGAGGGGAGGAGGGGGTGGCTCGGGGCTGAGAGGGGGGTGTCTCGGTGTACGATGGTGTCCTGAGGCTTTGGAAGAGGAGATGCGGGGGGGGGGAGGTCTCGAAGCCGGGGAGG